GAGAGTGAAAATACAAGGAAAATAAAGTCGATAAAATAATTTACAATAAAAGATTAGGTGAGTGTTAGTGACAAACATGGAAGGAAAATGCAAAGTAGGAGTGCAAGTATCCTAGGTGCAGTCCAAAACAAACAAACACTACACAAGTAACTACTACAAAATCCTACATGGAGGGTGTTCTGTCAGAACTACCACGATGCCTCTGCCGTCACCCACGTCCTCGCTACCTAAAACCTAGAAGGGCACAAAACAGAAAACGTGAGTGGGTAAAAACAAAGTTGTTTTTCAAACCATTTCAATGTTAAATACTAACCCCTCTTTATAAAACCTGTATACTTTCCAGAAAAATATTATACATACTCGTATATCAAATCATGCTAAAAACTATAAAACTCATATATGCCATGCCAGATATATGCCGTGCCAGATATATGCCGTGCCAAAATATCCGATCAACAATATAAGCATCAAGCAGGTGAGATAACACAAATCATAATATGCTGATAATATCAACACGTCAGCCAGAGTCGCCTAAAGTAACTTGTACGGCTGAATCTATAGCTCCTCAACCACTATTCTGCACACGAGTCGGAACCACCTGTAGTGGTCTGTATGACAGGCTGGGTGTAAATAAATACGCTCTAGTGCTACAATTACGTGAAAGTTGTGCGAAGTATCGCAAGTCACCTACGAGTCGGAACCACCTATAGTGGTCTGTACAATAGGCTGGCACCTGCCCTGGATCCAAGGTGAGCGTACGGTGTAGGAAGTGAACGATCATGTGAAGGTTAGGCCCTGCTCTGGCGGAGCACAATCACCGAGGTGCAGGAATATAAGCTATAACTCAATCTCATTAACACCACATCTATCACTAACAAACATACTCACCTGACTTACATAAGCGTCCGCGGCACCAAAGCATACATATATGCAACTACTAATGCATTACTAAATATGCAAACACTATGCATGGCATTTAAAAACATACAAACGTTTAATTGCATTTTCTGGAAAATTCTCAAGTATATAGGTACATACGAAAAACCAAAAGCCCACTCACTGATACGTAGAAGGATCGTAAGCCCCGAGCCTCGCATGGCTGCGCTCGTCCTCCGGATAGTCCTCACCTATATGAGAAATAACTATAAAAACATCAATTTAACGCACATAACCAACCTTAGATAATAACTTCTCATACATTGCTCAAATGGGGTGTTTAAATATACCAACGTGATCTACTCAATGCCACGAACATCCCCATATTTTAAAAATAATTTTCTGACCTCCCAAGCGTCGCCACGCGCGGGCACGCGTGTGGAACCCTAACGGCGTTAGGGAATATTCGTGGAATATTCTGTTAAAACCCTAACAGACGTTAACGGCCGCTACCTGACGCCATTAGAATATTCCGTTAACTCTAACGGAATATTCTCCTTCTTCTCCGGTGAGCCTCACCAGTGGCCACTGTCCGTCGCCGTCAGAGCCGCCGTCTGCAACTCAATTTCTCGCTGGAAAACTTGGAAAATTTTGAAACTTCAATATCTTCTTCAATTCTCGACCAAATTCCATGAAATTGGTACCAAAATGAAGCTTACAACGAGTAAACAAAACCTTACCACTTTGGAGACCCAAAACCAATGAAATCTCGCCGGAAATACTCACGATATTTCGCCCAAACCTGGGACACCCTGAAACTAGGCTTCCCGACGTCCAAAACACTTCAAACTTGTTCCTCGAGCTTTGTGAGAAGGTTCCTAAGCTTCCTAGAACCTCAAAACTCAACGAAACCTCCATGATCACGTGTGCATGAACAGTGCTCCAATTCGGGATTCACGGGTTCTAGGGTTTTCGAAGGTCTCACATCCTAAAAATGGTATGGATGAGTTCCTGGGTTTGCAAGGAGTCCAAAGCTAAGAACAATAACCACGATCCGTGCTTGAAATGGTTGGATGGAAGTTGTCCGTACCTTTGCAAAGAAATGAAAGAACTGGAAGAAAGTCCAAGAGAAGGAAAGAAAGAGAGAAAGTCACGGGGAAGGATGGGTGTGTGTAGGTGTGCATGTGGTCCAGATGAGTTCACAACCAAAAATAAAACAAACCAAACACCCAACAACACAAAATACGTCCAGGGGTAAAATCGTCATTTCACACTAACTCTACAAAAATCGGGACATGCTGTCACATAAAGACACCAAAATATTAAAATATATAATTTCGTAATATGGGCCAATGTGATTTAAGTGGAACTAGAGACTAGTTTGGTATTGTTGTGCTTTTCAATAAAAATTGATTTTATTGTGTTGTAAGAATAATCAGCTGTGAAAAGAAATAGTTAAATGCTTTATAAACTATAGTAATCGTTTATAATAAAAAAAAAAAAAAAAAGCAACGATAAAGTGTTTGATAAACGTATGAATATAATTATTGTAATTATGCAAAGTAGCCAAAAAGACACGATGATGAATTTTATTTTATACTAAACGTTGTCCTATTTAATAACCATAAAAAAAAAAAACAAATAAAAAGTATATAAAACTAATTCTTGTCATCTTCCTCTCGAGGACCTCCACCCACCAACTCCTCCATCAAAGCCAACGTCCCACCTCGCCACACCAGCTCCAAATAAAACCACAATCATAGCTCCACCATCTCAATTCTTCAATGTAAAAAAAAAACAAAAAAAAAAAAAAAAAAAAAAAAAAACAAAAAAAAGTATCCTAATCATATCCTATTCCATCTCCACCATCTCAATTCTTCAATGTAAAAAAAAAAAAAAAAAAAAATGTATCCTAATCATATCCTATTCCATCTCCTGTGCACTCACCACCAAGAGGTCGTGACCTCAGATCTGAAAGGAAAAAGAGGTCGGAATTGTCCAAGGGGGCCGACGTGAGGAAGGAAGATATGGGGAAGGATAGAGAGAGAAAATTAAAGTAGGAGGAAGGCAAAGTTGGGAGAGTTGGCGTCTCGGTCCTTGCAACGAAATGTCACACAGATGGAAGGGAGAGATCCAGTGGGAGACAAGGGAGAGATGGAGTTGGGAGAACATTTAGGTTTGATACACAGAAAGGGACGATGGAGAGTAAGGGAGAGTACGATTGCTATATACAAAATGTTATTAAAGTTACCGTTCATCCATGTTTTGCAAATGAAAAGCTTGTTTCTGAAAGCAGCAATTAGATGCTTTCACTTTCCTACTATGAAAGGCCATAATTTGGAAAAAAAACGGGGCTTGTTTTAGTTACCAAATACAAATTAGAGCCCAACTTTTTCACCCCTGTTTATAAAAAAAGTTATGGAATCCAAACCAGTATTAACTAGTATTTAACCTTGCTATTTCTTAATTAGCTTTGCTTTTTTCTTCTTTTCCTGAGAGAAAGTGAGAAAGGTGCAATGGTGAAGGCAAATTGAGACGAGAATAGTGGGGATATATATTGAGTTTATGCGTAAGCTGGCCAAATATTTCAGAAATGAGAGGCCCCATCTTCACTTTTATACGTGACTAATATTATTATGAGAACCATGCAATCAATGACGAAATAAGGGCCTTCGTTGCGTGCATGGAACGAGTTCCTCCAACTACCAAATGACGTGCCACCTGTTCCCTGTTTGCTGACTTCTAGCTACTAATCCACTAATATATATTCAGAATTTTCTTGCTTTTTTTTCTTTTTTTTGGGAACTGTTATTAGCACTTCAAAAATTTTATTCTATACTTCTCATACGTGTATTTTTCTTTCTAATTATAGAAAATTTGGAATGCCAAATGAAATTTTTGGAGTGTTAATAACAATTCCCTCTTTTTTTTTGTGACCTTTATTTCTTCTCTCCTTGCACACTATTTCTGGTCTATTGTAGGCGTATTTTCGTAGGAACCACTTGAAATTTTTAATAAATTTTTGGATGAGTTTTTGAGAAAAGAAGTTTCATCTATTTGAAAAATTAATTTATTTTATTATTATGTAAGAGTAGTTTAATTATTATTTTATGGATTTTTTTTTGTGGGCGTAAGTTTTGCATCCCTTGCTCATTAGGATAGGGGTTTCGCTTACTTGCCCATTAGAAATTAGGGTTAGCTCTATAAATAGTATGTTTTTGTACTGAATTGATACAGTCAGTTAAGATGTAATCCTCAACTTAATTAATCTCGTTTATTTGTTTTTCGTTTAATAAAATACTTATAACCAAAATTACTTACTATAATTTACAGGAAAGAAGATCAGAACACTTTACAGATAAGGAGGCTAACAATATTCTTAACATTGTAGTCAAATACATTTTGCCACTTTTCATTATATGGCTAATGATCGAGTAAATAAATTTGTGCAAAATATCTGATCAAATATATAGCAGATAAGTGTGTATATATGTTCATATGTGTTGTGGGAGACCTGCTGCATTTCGCTATTTTATGTGCCTTTTTTCTTTTGGAAAATACAGTTCAATTCAAGGAAAGGGAGAGCCGCAGCACTTAAACTTGATCAATATATATTGCAAGATTAATGGAGCTAATTCAAGCTATAACCTGCTCATGTGACATTTTCCAATTTGTCGTAGCCCACAACACTATCACAGCCAGGCCTTGGTGAATTGAGCACACTAGCTATGAAATTATGAATTATAAAATCCCTTGGTCGGGACGAGTAAGATATTTGAGGTAACTAAATCATACTGTTTTAGTCGCTATGTATGTCTGCAGAGTGGGCCATTTATTCATTACCCAAAAAACCATGGTCCGCTTATGATTAATAATCAAGACACACACATTGTCAAAACCAACATAATTATATATGTGATGTTTAGAACTGGAGAATGCAAACAGCTTAGTCAAAGGAGTAGAGGGTGTATTTGTCATTTCCAGAAGAAAGAGGGTGTAGTTGTTTTGCTAGCAAATAGGAGCGTAGCACGTCAGTCAGCCCTCGATGTGATTGGAGGGGACAAGAACATGGTGTATATAAATAGAGTGGTCTGTAAATTATTAATGGTAGGATTGAAGGGAGGCAAACCAAATCTCTTAGGTAAAGAAAAATGGGAAGATCTCCTTGTTGTGATGAGAGTGGCCTCAAGAAAGGCCCTTGGACTTCTGAAGAAGATCAAAAACTTATGAAATACATTCAGAAAAATGGCCATGGAAGCTGGAGAGCCCTTCCAAAACTTGCAGGTACGATCACATAAAAATACACGCACTTCACGCACTTCATTCTCTCTCTCTCTCTCTCTCTCTCTCTCTGAGTCAAGTGGTTGATCTTCTTTTCTTTCTGTTAATGTATGTGCAGGGTTGAACAGATGCGGCAAGAGTTGCAGGTTAAGATGGACAAACTATCTTAGGCCGGATATAAAGAGAGGGAAGTTTTCTCAAGAAGAAGAACAAACAATTCTTAATCTCCATTCCATCCTCGGCAACAAGTAATTTCCATATTTTTTTAACAAATTTAATTGATTATTTGGTATAGGAAAAATCGTCTATTGTCAGACAGTCTAATGTGTTATATCGAGACACTATTAGTCTATCAAGATCGCTATTAGGTAGATAGATTATTGTTTTAGCATATATCTAGCAAGATAATATTTCCAATTTATACATATGTTTCTTGATGTATAAACAATAAACTTTACCCTTTTTATTTCTTGGTTCTTGACAAGATGGTCAGCAATTGCGAGCCACCTACCCGGTCGGACAGACAATGAAATCAAAAATTTCTGGAACACCCATTTGAAGAAAAAGCTAATTCAGATGGGTTTTGATCCGATGACTCACCGGCCCCGGACTGATATCTTCTCCAGCTTGCCTCATCTTCTAGCTCTTGTCAATTTGAAAGAGCTTCTAGACCATGGAAGCAGTCACCAATCCAGTTGGGATGAACAAGCTTTGAGATTACAAGCAGAAGCTGCTCAAATAGCTAGGCTTCAATACCTACAATGTCTCCTCCAATCTAATAACAATTCCTTTGGAGCTGCTACCCCAAACAACCTAAATGACTTCACTGACATGGAGACCATTAATCTTTTGAATTCACTCTGTTCATCTCAGCTGGATATTCAAAACCCTACTGCACAATACCCTGTTGGTAATTTTCAACCAGTAGTCCAAGATAATTCAGTCCCTTTCTCTCATTTGCCTGACTTGCAAGCCTATCCAACACCACCAAGCAAGGACATGGTTGATAATCAAGCTCCAGATCAATTTACTGCAGTTTTGAGCCAAGATGAAAGCTCTCCAAATAATCCATGGAATATTCCTTCGTCTTCAAATACCACTCCATCTCCTACTTCGGTGGCTCCTCCCGTGACAGTGACAGAGGCTTCAGTAAGCAACAACATGGGTGATGCTTGCAGCACTTCAAGCTATGGAGGAGTGGCTACTTCAGCGTGGTCTGACCTTCTTTTTGAGGACCCTTTTTTCAATGAGATTGCTTAATTAGGTATATGTGTGCTAAACACTTCGAATTGCACGATCACCAAACTTTCTTTTATTTCTTCTTTTGGGTTACAATATTATCACCACTTTGATATCTGTACTTGCTGAGTATATATATATATATATATATACACGCTTCAATTTATGTATAACTGTAAGAGGAGTTTCGTTTGAGCTAGTAGCTATTAACAATAAGTCAACTAAACTAGTTACATGTTTACTTGCAAGCTTGAGATTCATCTAAAAGCATGCATGAGTATGCAGAATTATTCGCTTGCATCCTTTTCTAATTGGAGAAAGAAACTTCCTCAGCAAGAATATGATATATGGATGACCGAACCAAGCCAACATTCCTGCACATTGAAATATACATTGATCATTAATACCAAACATAGATGACGTTCCTGCATGTATAAACAATATTATTATTACTATATCATCATCAACATCGTTGCTCGTTACTATTATTATTATTATTATTATTATGGGAACTATTATTAACACTCCAAAAATCTCATTCTACACTCCTCACAAATGTAGTTTTCTTACTAATTATAAAAAGTTTGGAGTGCAAAATGAGATTTTTGGAGTGCTAATAACAATTTCCATTATTATTAGCATTATTATTATTATCCGCATTATTATTACCTAATACTTTGAAATATGCATGATAACCACTGAGCCATGCATATGCATGTGCAGGGAATAATGAGTGAACATGGATTAGTATTATTTATTTGTTTTAATTACAACAATGTTATTTAGAGACACAAGACATAATATACTTTTTGAATTTTTTTTAAACATAGGTGGATATCTCACATATTATTGTATAATTCATCTCTATTATTAAATCATGTAGCAAATGTATTAGTTTTATGTGTCCAGTTAGATTATTGCATGATTAAATGTTTCAAGTTGGTCAACAACAAAATCATTTAAAAACAAAACCAACACACTTGCTAATAGAGGTGGGCTCTACCTATTATATGTGAGACTCGTGTGTGTGTGTATATATATATATATATATATATATATGCATCAATAAATATATTAGTTGTGTGTCTAAATAGCATCACTCTTTGTAAAATATTAATAATCATATTTGAGTTTATATTGATATATTCCTCAATCGATGTTAGTTAATTATATCATTTAAGTACAAGAACCAATAAGACACTAACCACTTGCTAGAAATCACTCCATAATGGCATTACATTATATATATCCAAGGGCCCAATCAAGATTTTGGAAGAGTGTATAAAATTTCATAGAAATCCGGATATAATTAATTAGATTTTATGGAATCTCTGATAGTTTTAAGTGTATTAATAAAATAAATAATTAAATAAAATCATTGCTTCAAAAATATTTTAATTTTACAAATAAATAAAAGCATTGCTTCAAAAAGATTTTGAAAAATTATTGATGAGGGATTTTAAAGTGTATTTTAAGCGGTAAGAAATCCAACATGTCCCCTAAGATTTTAATGGAACTTTTCCCCATATAATCCACTCTATCTACGACCACCATTTTGCCATTAACATATAGAGTAATGCTATTCTTACCACAATTTTATACCACATTTCTTTATCACTTTAGGTGGCAGATGAGTTGGACAAGCTACATCATTTAATTTCAATCTTTTATTAATTAAAACACTTAAATAATGTTAGGTGGAAGAAGGAGACTCCTCGTATACCACAATTATCATTTAATTAACAATCTTTTTATTAATTATTGATTAACATTTTGAAATTAAATGCTAAATTTAGTTGATGTGGTTGTCCAAATCAGATGTCACCTAAGGTGGTACACAATTGTGGTACAAAAATATGGTAAGAATAGCATTACTGTAACATATATCACCACTTCTACCACCATATAGTCGCTGCAACCAACATTGCCATGGTCGGCCATAACCAGTGGCAGAGCCACTAGAGGACTAGGATAGGGGCGAGCCAATTCTGAAGTTTCTTCATTTTGTAGCTTCTGTTTGTGTGCTTTTGGTTGGATACTCCACATTCTTCCACTTATCTATCTTTTGCTCCCAACTAACTTTATTATATTTCTCTATTGACAAAAATATGTGTTTGACAATAGTACTGTTATGAAACCAAAGCCTTATATCAACTAGCATTCCTTAGTTAATTCACCATTTTGCATGATATATATATGTACACACACACACACACACATATGAAACCTTGCATATATGGAATAAGTGAAGAATTTATCTTGGAAGAAAATTTTCATAGCTGTAGTTTTGAGCCATGATTATTAATTTTTGTTCAATTTCAGTGTAAGAACTTTTAAAGAAGTTCGATGTTTATGATATAATAAGGGAATTGTTATAATTGGCACTCCAAAAATCTCATTCTACACTCCAAACTTTCTATATTTGGAAAGAAAACTACGCTTGTGAGGAGTGTAGAATGAGATTTTTGGAGTGCCAATAACATTTACATATAATAATCTCAATATTATTTTTTTCATGACTCCATTACTCTCTTTTGATTAAAATTTTTCATTCCACTACAAAAAATAAACCTTTGTCTCTCATTAATTATATTATTGTTTGTCCATTTTCTACGCTTTCTAATTATAACTCATCACACTCATCCTCCCACCACTTGAACTTACATAAAGAGTTGCTTGTGATTAATTTGGACAGAAAATCTACATTTTTTTTTGTGTCATGTGCCATCCGGATATATGTGTACAGGGACACAGCTTAGTGGTAGTGGTATGGTATTTAGATGTGAAGTATTGGACTTAACCCCTTCTCTTTCGGTTTCTAGTTTTTCTCTTTTTAAAGAGATAAAAATAGGGAAAATATATGATTAGAACAAGGGATACGAAGGAGGGTCGAGAGATGGTAGAAAAGTAATACGGGTTCTTTAATATTGTACATAATCACCATTTATGTACCATTCCATTTACACATAGTCTACTATCTTTCCACCTCACTCCATCCTTCTTCATGCATTCTCTCATCTTCCATAAATTTTCTCCTTAAGGAAAAAAAAAAAAAAAAAAAAAACCGAAAAGAAAAAGTTTCGTAGCCAATCCTCTAATTGTTAAAGATTGAGTTAATATAATGAAAATGAATCTAACAGTACATAAAGACATTTTATTATATTTTTAATAAACAATATTATCTATACTAAGATCTCTTATTTTATTATTGATTACATATATTGAGACACAATAGCATAAATATATATAATCCTGATGCGTTTGGAAGCTTCATAAAATTAGTTTCCATTTCCGAGCTATAATTGAGCATTTTTTTAATATCCTTCTTCGATCTATGTTTTTATTTTTGAAACTAATGAGGGTTAAAAGTAATTCAGTTACATTCCCGATTTTGAAAATTTATAAATTAATTTCAGACTAATATCAAACAACACTAACTGTAAAAAGATATAAAAATGAGAAAAACTCAGAATATAATTCTTTCTTAGAATGAAAATAATAATAATAATTCCAAGTTCTCTGCGGGGAAACAGAAGTTTTTTGTTTTGATTATTAGTAGGAAACAGCAATGAAAGAAAAAGATGGACCCTGCAGAAACAAACATTTTATATCTTAATTAACTAAACTCTAATACACATATAAAACACTTTACATGATCATGATGTTATCTATCAATTTATAGTTTAATAATCCATCTCTTTGAGTACGTTAAGATCAAGCTAGCTAGCCATTGACATATATTTCGATAGGCAGCAGCCGCCAACCACTCTTATAGCTAGGAATCTGCTCTAAGTTTTCTTCCCTTCATCACAGAATTTCCATTAGCCGCCCTTACTTTTGACAGGTTGTCGAACAGAGAAAGGTTGACCAAAGCATTAAGTCAAGAGAGTGACGAAAAGGATTCTCAGTGATATGCTACCCCATACAAGCAGTTAGAACTTCGGGAGCACAAAAGAATTTTCAGAACGAAATTGGACAGATTGCTACACAAATCTACTGCGTGAATTTTTCAGTCAACTAGGACATGACTGGAGCAAAAAATTAGTTTTTAATGAGTTTGTTACACTAAAACATGTGCGAAATAATATACCAAATCACGTTATACCTTTGAGTATTGTATTAACAAATATATATGGTTGGAGAGGTAGCGGTGTTTCAACATTATGTAACACTGCATTATATATATATATGTGAGTGTGTCACATTTGTGCCTGATTATCGAAAAAGGCTTGGTTATGCCATATTACTTTATTTTAGTGGTTTAGTGTGGTAGTAAAAATTCACCGTCTTTAGTTTTGACGAATTTGTACTTATAAAAAAATAAATACCTTTGATCAAGGAGCAAAGCCTCATGCATCCACGACGTGGTTTGGGGGGGGGGGGAGAGTGTTGCCAAGGATCTTTTATGCCTAGTCAGTAACTCTAAAATGAGTGAGTATTTAGGGTTTAAGTGTGCATCAAAAGCTTACCAATAGATGGTGGAGAAGAGGTATATATAAGGGGGTGGCCGGCCATGAGGTTAGGGTTTTACCTTACATCTGGTGACTTCCCATTGGCCAAGGTTGTGTTAGGATGGATAACGAAAGAATTATCCCAAGATATTAATTAGGAGATAATACCTTAGGATTATCAAATAAGTATCCTTGCAAGTGTCCCTTTACCATAATAGTGGAAAGGTGTTGAGCCATGGCATGACAGCGTGGGTTCAAACCCGGTACGTGGCTAATCTAACATCTAATCTAACAAAATCTATCGTTTGAAAAAAAAAAAAAAAAATCAATTAAGTATCCTTGATTGATTATGATGAGGATCCCTTACTTGTTTGAGTTGATCTTCAATCAGGAATGTCTTAAAGATATAATTTGGCGATTAATCCTACCTTTAATGCCTTTGACTTTTCCATGCCACGAGCAGAGGAGCTTGTTGATGTCGTAGGCAAATGCTCGAGCCTTTAGAGATGTTGAACTACGCGTTGGAATATTTGTGTGTCCTGCCCATTTAATGAGGACAATCTCATCTTATTTGGAAAAAAAAATTCACGTATCGTCGTTTTTGATTTTTGGAATTGCTTTTGTTCCACCGTTAGCAGTCACTCATGACAGTATTGCTTGTTGTATAACAATATGTCATGACCAGGGATCACATTAAAAAAAAAGGGCCAAATCACAGCGCCTTATTAGTCTTAGCTAGGTA